CATTATAGTTAGGGAGCGCCCGTTGTCTCGCACGCTAATCATCATTGTCTACGATTATCCGCTGACGAATTAACAATAAGACGAAATCCAAACGGCACAGCGACGCGCAGGATGCACCGCCGGATGTCGTTGGTCGTTGTCTTAAAGACGATCACTTGGGCCGGCTTAAAAATAGACGCGAACATATCATCTTTATACTGTTATTGCGACAAATATTACCACATGCCTCAGTGGTCGAATTGGCGAGACGCCTAGGGAGTAGGGAAGTCCAGGTTCGAACCCTGGCCGAGGTAATATTTTTCACCAATAAATTTTCCGTATTAAAACACTGGCCGGTTAATGTCGACTAAAACGCTTGATTATTGTTATTCATTACTGGCAACTTAAAGAGATTTCTATGCTTGAAAACGAACGTTTGAGAGCTTCGAGCGGCGCGCCGTTCTTTAGCCGATGAATAAATTTCGCATGCGACGTGTCGGCCGAAACCATTCGGTTGCAAACCGCCGGTGTCGGCGGATGTACGGCGGCGAGGGTTGGCACTCGGGACCTTGGCGGACCGAAGGTCGGTCGACGAGCCTTCCACCACGCCTTTTCCGCGTATTCGTAACCGCGTCTGGCAGTTTCCTTAAACAAACCGTAAGTTCGCGCGGTGCACCTTGCACAAACTTCGCCGTATCGTTTCCGTTTCAACAGGGACCGTAATGACGGCGATGTCAACTCCGGCGAATATCGTTCGCATCCACCGCGAACACGAAAGGAGGCATCGCGATGCGGCAATTACGCGAACGTTAAAGGGACTCCGCTATTTAGCTTGCGCTGAAAGGATGCCTTGAATTGCCCCTGAAAGAAAAAGAAAAAGATTTCCATTTAAAGGATTGGTATTCCCCGTCATTGACGTTCCTGGAAATCGGAGACGCCGTCCAAAAGAAGAAAAGGATATTACGCGTTGCAGTTGAATGTCTTTACTCGGAAGTTTACTCGGGGGGGAGCGCTTCTTTTTAAATGAAAATATTTTTCGAGCTGAAGCGCAAGAATCTCTCCCGTTTTAATTTGCACATCAATGCTACGGCCAGCGTAACAGTCTAGCGAACGTGTCATATATCTGATATACAGGGTGTCCCAGGAGGAAAGGTCAATATTCTGGGAGGTGATAGTGTCGGTCATTTTAAGCAAAAATGTCCATACGAATGTACGTCCCATTCCCCGCCGTTTCCGAGATAGAGCACACTTTGTTGACGTCCTCGTTCAGATAAAGCATGAAACACTGGCAAGCGTTCCGCTTTCACGCGATGTATTGAAAATCTTGGAAAACTTTACGATTCGAAATTTTGTGGGAAAGCGTCGACGGTATTCTTCAACGGCAGCGGTCGCGCTACCGTCGCAGAAACCGCGAGCATACGGCATATCTGCATATTCGACGTTTGTGAATATGCGAGGCATCTTGAACATTTGTACAATGTTATCGGCACAACAGTCAACAGACGTATAAGAGTAAATTCCCGCAGACGTTTATGAGGTTTGATGAAGGGCGAAGTGTACGGAAAACAAGTAAATACACGAGACATTCAAGTAGCTCTATCTCGGAAACAGCGGGGAATGCGACGTACATTCGTATGGACATTTTTGCTTAAAATGACCGGCACTATCACCTCCCAGAATATTGACCTTTCCTCCTGGGACACCCTGTACACGCGCACTTTTCACGTTCTCCGACATCTTATTACAATGCATCTTGCCGCGCGAAAGAAATAAGAGGATATGCCTCTGACGACGAGGAGGGCTTCGTGACGTTTCGTATTCGTCTCGTCGTGACGCCGCTTCGGTTATTCCATGATGATGACAGCAGCGGTGGCGCGAAGAAGGAAGAAAAAAAATGTAATAAAGAGAAAAACCGCCATATACCATGAATGCTACATCTGTAGTCTCCTGATGGGTATCGAACCGGAAGACGAACGTATAAGCAAGTCGCTCTCGAGCAGCTGTTTCGAACGAATCGACCGCTTTTTACACACCTCGCAGAGAGCGCCACGCTATTGCTGTTTCACACGCGAATATTCTACTCGTCGAATTTCAATTTCCGATCAATTATCCCGCCCGGCCTTTCCTTTAATATGTGGAGCTTAAGAAGCTCCAAATATCAAATCGAAAGTTCTGGTATTCAAAGTTTTATTATCAATAACAAACACTATTTGTGTTTAATTGTGTAATTATCTAAACTGACAAAGGAAATAAATGAACGAAAAGGCCACACATTAGTAACGAGCTATATAAGACGACAGTGTGAAAAAAAAGGAACCCTGGGGAGAAATACGTAGCTCTCACCCAGGAGGATCAGGTTCGATTCCCAAGTACCGGAAGTGTATTTTCGATGGCTTAAATATAATTTTTTTTCACACTGTCACCTTATATCGTTACTAACGTTTCACCTTTTCGCTTATTTATTTGTATTTACAAAAAAACGAGCACGTTTTGCTTTATTAAGGAATTATAAAAAATGATTGCGGTTAGGATACGTTGTTTAAGTAAATATTAAAAAAAGAAAACAGCTAGCGCGAAAGAGTAGCACGTTAAATTCAGAATAACTGCTACTCGGCCGAGATAAGGGGATCCCGCATTTATTAAACAGAAAGGCATTTAAAAAAAACGACCAGTTGACGGGAAGGCCTTCCTTATTGTGCGACATCCTTATTATAAGGAGACATAATTATTGTAGTCCCTTGAGAAGCGAGGGGCTCTCAGGACTGCTTGAAGCTGCACGAAGTACATTACATTAAATTACGCCCTCGCCGTCGTTTGCTTCCTTAAAGTTATCGTATTGAAATGCCTTGTTACGAGCATTCGCAAACAAGACTGCCGCAGACGCCGGCGATGTCAATGTCGAAGACGTTGTACGTCTCCTCCGTATTGTAAATTTATAATTACCGCAGCTGGGAAGTTTGGTACGAGGCATGTTTCTTCGGCGGAACTTTTACGGAGTACCGCGCGCAATTATAAAAATCCCGAGAGCATATCTGCGAATTGTTCTGCAGAGGGGAAAAGGATTGCGCCAGTGTCCTTTATCGAACAACACCCCGTGCGTTACCGTAATTATACCAGAGATCTCCCCCCCTTTTGTGGCCCGAGCAACATCAACCTCGGCTTTTCAAGACAATGAACCGCGTCTCCGACGAGAAACACTCTCGCGTAGAGTCCGCTCTCTGAATTATACCGCGTAGCTTGCCAACTTTTCAATTTCGAAATTGGACGACCGCTTCAAAGTTGCAGGAGGCTCGATCTTTCCAATAGGGAGAGCTCGGATGAAGTGGATACTGGACGCCCCTTCTAAATACACGGACCAAATAGTAAACGCATTATCGCACGTTCTGCTCGGCTGCTTTCCGTTCGGTCAATGTGTTTGCGATGTTGCACCCGATGAAAATTTTGCATAATTTACCTTAACGTAAAAGTGTTGAGATACCTCTGGAGCTATTAGAGTAAGCTACAGCCAGAATTGCGTCAAGGAATCCCATCTTCATTTAATTCCAGGGATATCTTTATTACGTACGATTCCACATATGCATAATACAGTCAGTATATGCATCCCAGATTCGAAAGCTGACTACACCCAACGTATGAATCTTGAATTCAAACAACTTTATCAACGCCCCCGAGTCGAAATTTTGGTCCTATGTCGAATCTTTAATTCTATTATAATAGCAGGACCTAAGACGGTAAAAGAGGCCGAACTGCAAGTACAAAAACTCCTACTTTAAAACTGATTTGTCGGAAATTTCTACTTTGCCAATTTAGCATTAAAGTAGGTCCTTTTAAATAGAAGCTAAAGTAAAATTTTACAATTAAAGATTCAAAGAAGGAGTAAAAAATAATGTCATCAAAGTAGGTTATTGCTGGTCTATGTAGGTGTATAGATCAGCTAAGTAGGTGTAAGTTGTCCTCAAAAGTATCGAAATCAGGGATTGAAATCGATAATTTTTTTGTTTTAGAAAAAATCATGTCATGACTTTGATTTTTTTAAATTATTTCTTGATTTTCATCAAATTGCAACTTTTATTTCCTAGTCAATTGCTTTAAAAGTCACACCGTGAGAGTTACTTTTGAGAGAAAAAAAATCACAAAAAAATAAATGTTATTTCTTAAGCAAAAATATCTCCCTCAAAAATAAAACTCAGCCTGATTTATTGACTACAAAACAACAATTAGTCACTGTTAGGGTGGCCCATTTTACGGGATTTTTGCGCGCTTAATCGAATGAGACCATAAATAAATCGAAAAGAAAAACCGTTTAATAGATATATCTAATTTTTCATGGGAAATGATGATACATCTAATTTCATGGAACATAATGAACATGAAATAATACATAGATTAGATCAGAAGTATCAAAACTTTATTACTTAGATAAAAATATAAGTTTATAACGAAAGAAATATTGTATTCTCTGTAATTGACGTAGGTAACTCATGAAAATAAAATAAGCACCTAATAATGAAGGTGTTACGTAAGGCAACTTTAGAATATCGTTCGGGATCCTCTTTCGATAGGTAAACGTAGAAATTAAGCACGCGTGACTTTCATTTTTTGAGAGAAAAAATAAAAATGGCAGAACAACTCTTATTTCTGATTAAGATACAAATCGCTCGAAGGTTAACGGTTAATTTTTATCGAAATGGGGAGAAAAAGGTTAACAATTTATTTTTACTTTTAGATATAAATCGTCTATGATTTTCAAAAATATTAATAAAAAATAACTCTAGTTTATTGACCCGGAAAAATAAAGATTTTTCGCGAAATTAAACTTGAAATTGGTCAGTTGGTACAATAGGCTTGATAACTCGAATGAATATTTTGTTTTAAAAATAACTCTTATATTCAATCCCTGATCGAAATAACATCGAAATTTTGGGCCGGGCTTGTATTTTAAGAGAACGAACGCACATTATTGTATTCGTGGAAATTTTATTCAGCCGCTACATGCACGACTTCTGATCTGTTTGTTTCAGTACAACGATCGATTCACGCCCGTTCTCCTGATAGTCTCGCTCGCGGGGATTAAAGTATGCAGTCCAGATGGAAAAGTGAGTACCAGAGATGCACACACAGTTACTCCCGCGGAAAAGGCTACCTCGCGTTTGTGCGCGGACGTTGTTATGGAGAAACCGTCTTGCCGCTGCGCCTGCGGCATCTTCCGAGACGGAGCTTCATCCCCTGGAGTTCCGCGCGAAAAGTTCGTCTCCCTTTTTTTGCAGCAAGCACGACTACACCCCACCGCGTCGTGTTACCTTTTCTAGGATACTGGAATCGGAAAAAAAACTATTATATAAAACAACCGCGCTGTATTATCGTTGTTAATCCCAGGCTGTTACTTTCGAACGGTGTTTAGTATTAAACATCTTTGTCGCAGTCCTTAGCGGAAATATATAGCGCCATTACGCGAGGAACGCGATATAATTCGCGATTAGGGAACCGAGAAGAGAACTGTATACATTTACGTCGCATGTCAACGATTCAGAAACGAGTTCTCGTAAAGGTCCTCGTTAAAAGAGCAAACGCCGAGGACATAACACAGAGGGTTGAGCTTTCATGAGATGGCAGGACTGAAGTTGAACCGCGATGCGAGAAGTCTAATTTTCCGCGTTCTTGAGCGCCGAGTTCGATAATCCTCGCGATACTTTGTAAAACCTCCCTTTCAAACCGACCTTGGGACGTCAACCTCTCAGTGCTAAAGCAAGCTCCGTGCCCTCTCGAATGAACCACTTTCGCTGTATTCCCGAAACAGTCGCACGATGAGAATGAAAAATGATTGGAAAAGAGAACGATTAATTCGATTGAGACACGACGAGAAGGAAAGCCGTTGTGACAAGGCGTCTCGATCATTTGTTTTGCTCACTTTCAACACAGATGTAAGAGGAGCGAGCAGAAGTACAGTAAAATCATTGTAAATAAAAATTTTCGATTACCCGAGTCGAAATTTTGACCCTATGTTGAACATTTAATTCTATTATATAGCAGGACCTAAGACAGTAAAAGAGGTCGAACTGCAAGTGCAAAATTTACTCTTACTTTAAAACTGATGGTGTCGGAAATTTCTACTTTTGCCAATTTAGCATTAAAGTAGGTCCTTTTAAGTAGGAGATAAAAGTAAACTTTTAGAATTAAAGATTCGAGGGAGGAGTAAAAAATATATAATGTCATCAAAGTAGGTTATTGCTTTCTATCTAAATTATCCTTAAAAGCGTCAAAATAGCAGCAAACTTTCGTCTCGGGGTAAACTAAAATTTTGCCGCTCAAAATTTGCTCAGGTCGAAAACGCTATTTCTTGCGCGAATCCGAGCAGATATAAAACGTCACGTCGCGAGGAGCGGAACGAGAGTAATCTCGCCGCTGTTCGTTCTTTTATTATTTTCCGGACTTTAATTGGGGGCCCGTAATCCTTATCGCAACCCCGCCAGTAATATTTCGAAGTTGGCTCGTGCACCGACCACCCTCGCGCGATCCGTACCCGCCGTGTTCACGAGCTGTACAGAACATATCGATCCTTCGAATTAGTGTTTTATTTCGAGGGCTTCTCCTAAGCTTTCGCTTTAATTTTCTACCTGAAAAAATTCTTACTTTCTATCCCCGGTAAGCGCCTCTTAAAAGGGCCCTCGTGGAACGTTTATCGTGGCGGATGAGGAACGAAACGTCAATCCCTTTCTCGAGAAAATCTCGATTCGCCGTCGATTACGTCGCAGTATTTTCCGTCATTCTTCTCGTATCCAAGCCTCCCCGAGTTATTTTAAAATTGTAATTTACTTTACGCAAAGCGTCTGACGTAAAATTAATTGTGGGGACCAGATGCGTGCAACAATGACAACTTTTATTTCATCGTTCGAGGAAAGTCCTGTATTACGAGATTGGATTCTAATGTGAGACGGCAGGTTCTCAACGTCCAAATTCAGTAGCGAATCTTTTTTCGCAACGATTACGCGATCTAACGATCAATTTTCCACCATACAGATTTCGCTCCAAGGGCAATAAGTTCATGGTGGAACCAGCCATTGATTTAGCGGAAACCCCGCTATCTCATAATAGGAGCCTATCTCGTAATAGAAAACTTTCCTCCACTAAATTGTTAATTATCAAATTAATGCCGTAGCGAGAAATCGAACGATCTCAAAGAATTAAGGCACAATTCGCAAGATCATTGAAAAGATACGCCGAACTTTCCAACTATCCCAGACACGCTTGTACCAATGCTCGCACGTTTATCGTAAGTTCTCGCGTAATGTTTAATTATGATAAAGCGATATTAGTGCCCGCGTTCGAATTGCCATACTCAACAAAGGAGTAATTGCCGATTTTCGGCAATTACAGGCTGTAAGATATGAGGAAACTTTCCGCGATCACGCCGAATGCACGTGACTACGTAAGATGATTAAGGAGCAAATGGGAACTTAGAAAGTTTAATTAAACTACGTACGACCGACCAGCGCGCTTAGATAAGCCGCGCGACATTGACCTCGCACGGCAAAAATGATATTCGCTCGATTAGCAAAATTTAACTGGCGAAAAAAAAAATGTTCCCAACGCTCGAACGTCGCGCTTGCTTTCCCCGCAGAATTTGTTTATCATACCGTGTAATTCGTGTCAGGCGTATCTCTTCACGCTCGAGCTGCTGTTGCACAAAATCGCGATTATTCCAAATCATGCACCGCGGAAAGTTCTCCGATGGGCGCGCGGTCGTGCGTGTAATTCGCTAGAAAAATTGACGGTCTGCGGAAAAGAAGAGGACAGAAGAAAAAAAAACGGTTCTCGGTCCTCGGCGCTGCGATGATAAAAAGACGCGACATCCCCGGTGATGATTGAATTACGGAGAAGTGAGATATCAATGAAGTGCACGCGCGAGAGATTCGCGGTGGTTATCGAGTTGGGGTAGTCGGGTAAACGTACGATGACGAATGGTGGCAATCTTCGCGAATGCAAGAGAGAAAAGGGAGGAGACAGAGAGAGAGAGAGAGAGAGAGAGAGAGAGAGAGAGAGAGAGAGAGAGAGAGAGGAGGA